ATCGTGGCCTATGTATCGAGGTGATGAGAGATATCGTATCGGCAACTTATATGATATCATTGGCTGCTGTATCGATATATTGTCAAGAGTATTTTTAGGTATATTTTAGGTATATTTTACTAAAATATTTTGTGTAAGAGCTGTAGTTGTGTTGAAATTTTCACAGTTTTGAGTAAAATGGGTGTTTTTCATCTTAACGTTGCACAAACTTAGTGGATTTTTAGTATCACAGCCACGATTTAGCCTTTATTTTTCACTAAACCGTATCACAGGGGTGTCAAACTCAAATTGACAGAGGGCCAAAATTAAAAACTGGGACTAAATAAATATTTACTGAAAATTTTCAACAACATCTGCATGTTTTTTCTTCTTTCGAGATATGTGATGTTAAAGCTTTTCTTATTAAAATAAATGTTTAATAATAGTTTTGCTTAAACACTGAATCCAGAACAAGCATGATATAAAATAATAACCAAATAAAAAAAAAAATAATGTCTCTATAGTTTATCTGTAGCCGGCGGGCAGCTCTAATATTCGATATGATCTCGCGGGCCAAATATAATTATATCACGGGCCAAATTTGTCCTCCGGGCCTGAGTTTGACATGTCTGCCGTATCGAATCGATGTGACATATATCATATCGAATCGTATTGAATCGAAAGCTCACTGTGTCGAAAAGCGTATCGTATCGGCAACTTCTTAATTACTCCCGACCCTAGCTGCTGTTTGTTTTTTTGTTTTTTTAAAGACAACCCTGAAACAATCAACCAATCATTACATTCAAATTGATTACTCTGGGTTTTGATAGTGTTGCCTCTTTACAAGCTCGCAATATGGAGGACCCAGATATGTCTACCACTCTGTTAATGTCATTGATTCACACATTACATTACTGATAACCTTGGATCTCCCAGTTCTTTGCCCTTGGGCCTAATGCACCCACCAGTCAATATACACTAACAGCAGGCCACAGCTATAACCTAATGTCATAAGAGATAGAGAGAGAGACGGCAAAGCGAACTGTACAGTAAACCTTGGACTTGTAAACTACATTTACTGAAGAAGTCTGTTATTGTCTCGCCGTTAAGTAACCTGGTGTTTATGAAGCCGTAGTTACAAAGCGGTGAGCAGGTTAATGAGCTTTCAAGTGTTTCCCCACGGCCTTTGCAATCTTCAGGGTGGTTTGTCAACGTGCATTCCTCTTGGACAGATGTTCAAACTTGTGGAATTTCTTGTTTGTTTGCAGAATATTTTGGTTAATCAAGTCAAATAAACATGCAAAATCGTGCAAGATTTACACAAAAAGCATCTCTGCCCTTTGCAAAGCCTCATATTCTAACATCTAGCTTGTTCAAACTTTGGATCATGAACTAGTTTTTCTTGTCTTCCAGGTAAATTGGCCCATGTTATTGTTATTGTATATTTATTGTCCTATTGATGATCTAAGCTTGAATAAAGGTCTGGTGTAACAGATTACATGTACTAGAGTTACATAATCAGAGTACAAATTATGAGTAACTGTATTCAGTCTAAAATTCATGTCTAAACAAGGACTAAACTAGGACTAAAACCAGAACTAAAGCAGGACTAAATCAGGTCTAAACCAGGAATAAATCAGGACTAAACCAGGTTTAAACCAGGTCTAAACTAGGACTAAACCAGGTCTAAACAGTATGACACTAACAGTAGGGTGGACATACTCATATAAATTTCTCATTTCTCATATAAAAATCATTTCTCTATCAATCATATTTTTAATTTGGTTAAGTAAAGACTGGACTTTTTATTGTCTTAAAGCAGACAAAACAAAACATCTTATGTTCAGATCCTCGTCTTTGCTTCTTTACAGCAAACAAAAGTCTGTTCATGGAGACTTGGGCTCAGCCAATTTGAAGAGAACAAACATGAATTTTCAGGATGCGGTTGGTACAATCATGTCGTTTTAAAAAGTACAACAACATCAAGTAATCCAAAGTATTCAGATTACGTTACTCACTTTAAGTAATTTAATGGATTACGTTACAAACTACATTTTGAGGTATGTAATTTGTAATCTGTAGGGGAATACATTTTAAAAGTCACCTTCCCAACACTGGTCCTGGACTATGGTGCAGTCCATGGCTCTTAAACAGTCCCCCACCTTGTCTGTGTTTTGATTTGTGGCCCCTGAACCGGAACTAAGCGTCTACTGTAGCAGAGTGGTTATCCTAGCTCCTACTGCTCAATAACGTGGTTGATAATTACACTCTTGGTCTCTCTGAGTTTGCATGTCCTGCCTGGGTTAGACTTAGATTTAGACAAACTTTACTGACCCACAACAAGAGGAATTATTATTATTATTACACAGTAGCTCACACATCACAATACATTATAATAACTAGGGCTGGGTATCATTCAGAAGTTGCCGATACGATACATATCTCAATACAGCGAGCTTTCGATTCAGTACAATATATTTCAAATCGATTCGATATTGTTCAATAAACCATTTCCTGTGCAATGTTAATCATCAAAACAGTGAAAATGTCAAATGTGTTGCATAAAATTATAGTGCTGTAACAAAATAATTTAGTAAAATATATCAAAAAATACTCTTGGCGATATATCAATACAGCAGCCCACTATATCAATACTGTATCATCACATTAAACGATACGATATTTTGATATTTTTGCCCACCTCTAATAATAACAAAGAAAAACAATATAAATGTTAATAATACATTTAAAATATGTAGCAAAAATAGCAAGAGCCTGGTGTCAAAGAGGTTATCCTGTGCATGTACTCCCTAAATTCCAAAAATATTGAAATACCAATATATCGTATCAATGAATGTGATGACACAGTATCAATATCGTGGGCTGCTGTATCAATCTATCGCCAAGACTATATTTTACTTATAATAATTATTTTGTGTAAGAGCTGCAATTGCGTTGATATTTTCACTGTTTTAAGTAAAATGGGTGTTTTTTTATATTAACTTTGCACAAATTTAGTGGATTTAGTAGATTTTTAGTATCACAGCTATGATTTAGTATTTGTTTTTTTACTCAACCGTATCAAACCGATTTGAAATATATCATATCGAATCGTACTGAATCGAAAGTGCACGTGGCAAAAGCTAAAATCTCGTCCTTAATCCAAGTTAAATGACTTTAATTAAGAAAGTTTGATCATGATTTGAGTAAATTTCACTTGACAAGTCAAATTATCCACCAGTGGAACAGGACTTTTTGTACTTAAAATATGAAAAAACATCTTGCTCCACTTAAGATTAGAAAAACAACAACGCCTTGCACTTAAAATAAACAAAATCAAATGTTGCTTGAATTAAGAAAAACACATTTATTCCATTGGTAGATAATGTGACTTGTCAAGATGAATCTACTCAAATGTTCTTAATTTAAGTCTTTTTAACTTATCTAGATGTTGTTTTTTCCAGGCCACTGTATCAAAAAATGTATTGTATCGTGGCCTGTGTACAGTGTTGGGAAGGTGACTTTTAAAATGTATTCCCCTACAGATTACAGATTACATATCCCAAAATGTAGTTTGTAACGTAATCCATTAAATTACTTTAGGTGAGTAACATAATCTGAATAGTTTGGATTACTTGATTTGCTGTAGAGAAGCAAAGACGAGGAAATCGTAACATCAGAAGTTTTATCTGCTAAAAAAAAATGAAAAGCCCAGACTTTACTTCAACAAATTTAAAATATTATTGATTGAAGAGGAGGAGACATGGTCCACGCAGCATGATTTAGTCCTGCTTTAGTCCTGGTTTTAGTCCTGGTTTAATCCTAGTTTAGTCTTGGTTTAGACCTGGTTTAGACCTGGTTTAGTCCTGGTTTAGACCTGGTTTAGTCCTGGTTTAGTCCTGGTTTTAGTCCTGGTTTAGACCTGGTTTAATCCTAGTTTAGTCTGGTTTAGTCCTGGTTTAGTCCTGGTTTAGACCTGGTTTAGTCCTGGTTTAGACCTGGTTTTAGACCTGGTTTAGTTTAGTCCTGGTTTAGACCTGGTTTAGTCCTGGTTTAGACCTGGTTTTAGACCTGGTTTAGTCCTGGTTTAGACCTGGTTTAGACCTGGTTTAGACCTGGTTTTAGTCCTGGTTTAGACCTGGTTTAGTCCTGGTTTAGTCCTGGTTTAGTCCTGGTTTAGTCCTGGTTTAGACCTGGTTTAGACCTGGTTTAGTCCTGGTTTTAGTCCTGGTTTAGACCTGGTTTAGACCTGGTTTAGACCTGGTTTAGTCCTGGTTTACTGGTTTACCTGGTTTAGTCCTGGTTTAAGTCCTGGTTTAGTCTGGTTTAGTCCTGGTTTAGTCCTGGTTTAGTCCTGGTTTTAGTCCTGGTTTAGACCTGGTTTAGTCCTGGTTTAGTCCTGGTTTAGTCCTGGTTTAGTCCTTGGTTTAGACCTGGTTTAAGTCCTGGTTTAGTCCTGGTTTAGTCCTGGTTTAGTCCTAGTTTAGTTTAGTCCTGGTTTAGTCCTGGTTTTAGTCCTGGTTTTAGACCTGGTTTAGTCTGGTTTAGTCCTGGTTTAGTCCTGGTTTAGTCCTGGTTTAGTCCTGGTTTTAGTCCTGGTTTAGACCTGGTTTAGTGTCCGGCAATGAGTGTAATTACCAATTTAAAAAAAAAAAAGGAATATAGCCCCAAATGTGAAAACAGGAAAATCCCTCTGTGTAATCCATTTATTTCAACAAAGTAACTGTAATCCAATTCCCACTCACTGAAACAGTAACTGTAACCGAATACAGTTACTCATCATTTGTACTCTGATTACGTAACTCTGGTACATGTAATCTGTTACTCCTGTGTATCAAGGTGATGAGACACTCGGCCCTGGTGAGGATGTTGTTGTTCTCAGTCTCCTCCATGTGTTCTTGTGGCAGAGTGGTTAGCCTGACTGGAGGGTTGAACCGCAGATCCTCCGAGTGCGTTCACCTTCCATCCTCTCCCCATCTAATATTATGATCTAATTTGCAGAGTACCGCGTCCATACTCACTTTGAGGTAGTCGTTTTCAGACCGGAGCTCCTCTATCTCCCGCGCGTACTCCTCGTGCACGCTGTCCATGAGCTCCTCGGTCAGGTCAGAGAAGGCCAGGGACGTGGAGGCAGGGAACCGGCTCTCGAACGAGGTCAGGGACTTCTCATCACCGGGAGAGACGCTTCCTTCCCCGGCCTCGACCCCCAGCAGCGAGAGCCGGTCCTTATTATCCCCCGCCTCCCCCGTGATGGACGCGGGGATGTTCCTCATGTTCCCCGCGGATGTCACGGACCGGTAGCTGCTGCTGCTTCTGTCCGCTGTAGCCGCGTCCCTGAGCGGCTTGTGCTCTCCCTCCGCCCCGCCGCGACTGCTCCGGGACTCGGTGTCGCTGCTGAACGCGTCCGTGGATAGTTTGTTTTCATCCGAGGGGCAGTCGGACAACTCGGAGCTGCTATCAGTCGGGGAAAGCTTTTCGGGAGCGCAGCCAGAGTCCTTGGACAAGTCTTCAGACCCGGTGCTCGCGTCCGACACCTTCCTCCGGGTGTTTTTAGCCCCCTTCCCCGCGGAGCTCTTCCCAGTGGACGAATGCTTCCCGGCCGCTTTCCCAGCTCCATCCTTCCCGCTACCGACGCTTCCCACGGGGCTCCTCCGGGAAACTCGGCTCCCCAAATGGATCCCGCCGGGTTTGACGCTCAGAGTCGGGGTCCCTATCCCTCCCCGGATCTTCGTGAACGACCAGCCGGGCACATCCTTGGGGCGCGCCGGCGAAGGAGCGCGGTTCACCCCTTTCTTCTTCCCCGGGGCGTCGTGCTTCGCCTGGCCGCCCTCGGAGCTCTCTGTCCCGCCGCCGCTGTCCATCTTCACCCGCTGCTGGAGCTGCTGCTGGAGCCTCCGTTCCTTGGGCGAGGCGAAGAAGAGGTGAGCGGGGGAGCTGTGCACATCAACCTCCTTTGTTTTGGTCATTCATTCATTTTAAAACGAGCTAAAAATGCGATGAAATGTTTCCTCTCCGCGGAGATAAACAAAAGAGGAAGAACAGGCGACCGCTCCACGATGTGTTGCTGCAGTTTAGCTCCAGGAAGCGCGCAGGAAAACGCCGAAATGCAGTCGAATTCCGAATGAAAACGCAAGTACTGGCTAAATATTCCGGTTTGTTGTGGTAAATCCAGTGCGTTTCGATCCAGGTTTGCAGGGAGTTGCAGGAGAAGTAAAGCGACCGGCGTGCGCGGAGCTGTCTGTGGGGAGAAGGAGAGGTGGCGATCGGGTTTGGGCAGCTCTCTCTCTCCGCCCTGATAACGGATCATCTCTGGAGCGGAGCCCGGGCTGGAGGAGAGAGAGAGAGAGACACAGAGAGCGGGCACAGGAACAGGTCTCCGCGGCTCTCCAGCGCTCCCTGTGGCGGCAGTGGAACAACGTGGTGGTGGTGGTGGTGGTGATGGTGGTGGTGGTATGTATGTATGTATGGGAGAAGTGCAGATGGCAAAACAAAGACAAGCTGCAAGCAATGGAGTGAGTAAGTGGATTTTGGGTTAAAATGCACCGTGCGTTCTGTTCCGTCTGTATGCAAAACTGAAAATAAAAAAATATATATAAAAAAAAACAGCTCTGTGTTGCATGCCAAAGTAGAACAAAATGATCTTGAGAAGTGCGAGGAAGCTTTATGTCACATTTTACATCTGGGTCTGGTCAAGTGGTAACGGAGGGAAACAGGAGCAGATTTTTTACATTCAAATGTCTCTTATTCAGAAACTAGAGGGACTATTGAAATAAGTAAAGTATCAGAATGTAGGAAAGAGTTACACTCCAACAGGGTAAAGTTAAACCTGTGATATTCTTTCAAGTTGTTGACAAAAAAAATTTAAAAACTCTGAAATATGCAGCACTTTTTGGGCAATAAATACAAACAGTGATAACTAGCGAATGAGTGTAATGAGATTTTTTATTAAGAAAGGTCAAACAAGTAGAAGGTGCACAATTTTGCATAATTTGTCAACTTTTTTTCTTCCGAATACTTTAATATTACTTCAAAATGAAAGGAAACTATTTCTATAAAATATGTCAGTCCTTCCAAGCAAATTTTTATCATTTTTAAATACTTTTTTTTTTTAAATCATGTACCTTCATCAACAGTTCAGAGATGGAATAACACACAATATGATGAAATACGTCCATTTATTTACATGATTTTTGGGTCTTTGAAATTTGGGAAATAATTTTTGTTCCATGTTTCATACATGGTCTGTTTAAAACGTATGTAAATTTAGAAGCAAAAATGGTACAGAAAAAAGGTAAACAGTTTCATAAACTAGAGTACATATGTATCTTAGTGCTGTCATGCGATAAAAAAATTGAGAGATTAATTAATTATGATCTGTAATTAATTAATCTAATTAATCTCTTTTTAATCTCACCTAAAAAATGCTGAGAAAAGCCTTCAACTTGAGGTATTTTCATTTAAATTCATTATTACATTATTGTGGCAGATCAGAAGACTCATATAGAACAAAAAAAGTGACTTTATAAAGTCATTTATTGTTTAACAAATCTCTCCAAAGTGACTGTTGAGCCCAAGTCTCCATGAATAAGAAACTGTTTGCTGTAAAGTAGCAAAGACGAGGAAATCTGAACATAATAACTTTTGTCGACTTAAAGACAATAAAAAGTCCAGTCTTTCCTTAACCATATTAAAAATATTATTGATAGAGAAATGTTTTATATATGAGATCACTGGTTTTAGTCCTTGTTTTAGTCCTGGTTTAGTCCTGGTTTAGTCCTGGACTGGGTTAGTCCCTGTTTTAGTCTTGGTGTTAGTTCTGGTTTAGAGGCGCACAGGAGGAAGCGCGGTTTACGCCGCGTACGCGAGAAAACGTACGCGGCGCACGGGAGCACGTCGGTGTCCGCGCAGAAACTACGGAAAGAAACGTGGTCCGCGTGTTCTCAGGTTAATGACGATGATGAAGGTGTTTGTGTGTGTTTGTGTGTGTTTGTGTGTGTTTGTGTTTGTGTGTGTTTGTGTGTGTTTGTGTTTGTTTGTGTTTGTGTGTGTTTGTGTATAGGACAGTAGTGCAGACATCATGAGTCTATGCAGGTTGTTTTCACCAGTGACATTTAAGTTGTAGGCGATTTTATATTTGTTATTTTCTTTTATATTTCACGTCGGGAGAATAATTTCCAAGACACGAATGTGTTTTTACCTGTGCACTGCTGCTCTGTTCTACTGGCTTTTCGACCTCGTCCATTGTGCGACTGACGCCGCAAACGTTAACATGACGTTTACATCGCTCTTACTGCGCACGAAATAAAAAAAATAATTAATGTGTTTTTTGTGTGTGTGTGTGTGTGTTGTCCCAACAACACATAAAACAGATTTTATAATAAAGCAACTCGCATACAGAAACAGTAAAGTTAGAGATTAAAAATGAGATTAACGCGATTAAAAAAACATAACGCGCTAAATATGACTGTAATTAATTAATCGCAATTAACGCGATAATTTGACACCCCTAATGTATCTGTTCAATACATTTTTTATATCAGATGCATTAACTTGAATTTTTTGGCCTTGTGGACGTGTGGTCACCCTAATTTAGAGGACATTGAATCTACAATATAGAACGAAATATGCATTAACTTAACCCATATTGCATAACCTACTACTTCTACTAACTAACTAACTACTACAATACCACTACAACAACTAGTATTACTACTACTACAAACTGATGTTTACATTACAAGCAGAAAGCATTCTGTTGGTGCCATTTTTTTATTTTGTAATTTAAGCTCAGATTCAGTCATAATATAATTTGATTTATATTTAGTGATTGCATGTTATAGCATATTGAGGATTACATTACGTTTGCATTACTATATTTCATAATTTGTATTTCGTGTAATTTTCATTTAGTTTTGAATTGGTAGATTCATTTGTTTAGTTTTAGAATTTCCAGAGATGTACAACCAAAAAGAGCTGGTGCCAATATGACGCAATGAGATCGAGCATTCATAGAAGGTAAAACTGTTTTTCTGTATCTCGTGTAAGAATTTCAGTAAAGTTGTTAAAACCTTATACACGAGTAGACGCAATCTTTTCGCCTAAACTAAAGAAATCATAATTGATTTTAGGAAAAACAAAAGCATTCACCATCACAATGGCCTCTGCATCAACGGAGAGGACATAGAGAGGGTCTCCAACTTCAGTGAGGATCTGACCTGGAGCCTAAACAAAATCAGCTTTATAAAGTGTTTTTTTTACGAACACTTCGCCAGAACGGGCCCTCCCAGAAGCTGCTCACCAACTTCTACCGGTGCATCATTAAAAGCGTTCTGACGTACTGCTGCACATCATGGTACAGAGCTGCACAGCTGCTGAAAAGAAGGACCTGCAGCGAGTGGTGAGAACAGCTGAAAAGGCAGTGGGCTCCACACTCCTGAACCTGGACACCATCTACTCCTCACGTCTCCACACACGGGCCTCCAATATTCTGCAGGACCCCACACCCTGGGAACTGCCTCTTCCACACTCTCCCCTCAGGAAGACTTCAAACTCCCCTCACACGCACAAACAGACTGACGCAACAACTTCTACCCACGAGCAGTGGACGAGCTCCAGGGGCACAGGCACAGATAAAAGGCCTGAAGGGACTCGGTGCAATAATCTATTTGTCTTTATTTATTGGTATGGATGTGAGGATGTGTCTATATTTGTTCATTTTTACTGCTACAGATTTGCTCTGTCGAAGTTTTGTTGTATTTCATACAATGACAATAAATAAATCTGAATCTAAATCTGAAAGTGGTTAATTGCATAAATATGTTAAGAAGAACTCACTGAACACAAGAAGTGTTTGTTTGGGCGCCTCTGTGATTGGTCACCCACCTCCTGTCGGGAAAATGCCAAGATGGATTGTCGAGAGTTTATGAGCTCATAAATATCACGGGAATCCATCTTGCTGTGCTTGGTTAGGGTGGCGTAGCTGTTTTAAACCCACTGTTAAGTGGTAGGACTGTGTTACGTAATGACATTTTAATCATGATTAGCAAAGCAAAGCCACATATTATACCTACAGACGTGGACAAAATTCTTGGTACCCCTCTGGCCATGAAAGAAAAAACAACAATAACCACTGAAATAATTTGAAATAGAGAAAAGCAATAATAAATAAAAAAAATTATTGAAAATTGTCCAACAAAAATCAGACATTGTTTTTCACCTGTGGTTCAACAGAATTATTAGAAAAAACAAAATAATGAAACTGGCCTAGACAAAAATGATGGTACCCCTAACTTAATATTTTGTTACACAAACTTTTGAGGCAAACTCTGCAAGCAGACGATTTCTGTAACTGTCAGTGAGACTTCTGCACTGATCAACTGGTATTTTGACCCATTTCTCGTGAGCAAACTGCTCTAGTTGTGTCAGGTTTGAAGGGTTCCTTCTCCAGACAGCATCTTTCAGCTCCTTTCACAGATGTTCAATACAACTGAGATCTGGGCTCACAGAAGAACACTCCAAAACAATCTAATATTTTGTTCTTAGCCATTCTTGTGTGTTTTTAGCTGTGTGTTTTGACTCATTATCCTGTTGGAAGTCCCATGACCTACGACTGAGAACAAGCTTTCTGACACTAAGCAACACATTTCGTTCCAAAATAACTTGATAGTTTTGAGATTCCCTTGTATCTTGCACAGATTCAAGACACCCTGAGCCAGATGCAGCAAAACAACCCCAGAACAAACCAAGCCTCCTCCGTGCTTCACAGCAGGGACAGTGTTCTTTTCTTGGTCTGCTTCATGTTTGCGTCTGTGAACATAGAGCTGGTCCTTAGAGCTCACATTTAATTTGTTTGTAGGTTGTTCTGGGCTCTTTGGTTCCATTCGTATGATCCATCTCTTCAATTTGTTATTAATTTTCCTGTTGTGGCTGCGTCCAGGGAGGTTGGCTTCAGTCCTGTGAACCTTAAACTTCTGAAGAACATGATGATGGTCTTATTGTCTTTATCTTTAACCTGTTTGTCTATTATTTTCTTTCTAGTCTCCAGACACAGTTCTCTTCTTCTCTTTCTCTAGTCCATGTTCAGTGTTGTGTCCATCATGTCTCCAAACAGCACAATGACACATGTCGCCCTTTAAACAGACAGACTGACTGAGGACAAGTTTGAAGAACCTGTGATGCAGATTAGAGACACACCAAAGTCTAACATGTCCCTATTGTACAGTTACTTACAATCTTTTCTAGAGGTACCATCATTTTTGTCCAGGCCAGTTTCATTACTTTGTTTTTTTAAATAATTCTGTTGAACAAAAAGTCAAGTCAG